GTATGTTCCATTATCATATACTTGATTGGCTTGATTCACCTTTCAAATTCTTTGTATTTCACTCTAATTTACATTTCTTTAGATTGCGTTTAATTTGAACTTTCGTGTCTCGCTTATTTTCTCTAGCTCTACTTATATGTGCTATGATTATTGAATTGAAGTTTAACCAAAACTTATGTAAAAAAATGAATTTTGATTCCTAAAATGAATTCGACACACCATATATAAAAAGATTCAATTTCAATAAAAAAAAGTTTCTTATTTTTATCTTTTTTTTATTAAATTTAGAAAACATTAATCAAAACCCGTGCAACGCACGGGTCCATATCTAGTTATATTAATATTTTATAAACAAAATAAATTAACTAAAACTCCGAAATTTATTTTAAAAAGCACAATGAACCGAAACAAATATGATATAAAACCTATTGTTAGAGTTAGACCATCAACTATACAACTCAGATTTTATAGTTGATGAAACTTGTTTTCTTTTCTTTTTATTTTTATCAAAAAAAAAAAACTTGTTTTCTTATGGCATGATAAAAAGAGTTGTATGTGCCATAAAAAGCTTACATGAATTTTCACTCTGTAATATATTGTTTAATAACACCAAAAATAAGGTACTATTCAATGTAAAATTGAAACATTTGATTTTCAATAAAAAAATGTATTTAGGTAAAATTGAGAATTTACTATGCTTTTTTTTTTTGTCATCTGAAACTATTATATTTATATTTTTAATTTTAACTAAAAAAACTTCACCAAAACACTAGCTAGAAACAAATAGGAAAATCTTAAAAATCACAATTTTAAATATTTTAAGTAACAATAAATTTCAAAATAATTTACAAAACAGAAGATTCAATAACACTGAATTTAAAAACTCTTTTAATTTTTTTAAATAAGACTATTTTCAATTTCTTAACTAATTGAACACAACCCCATAATCTCATGAATTAATTAGATTAATTACAGTTAACCGATACGTTAACATATCCAAACCGGTCTTCTACCAAAAAAAAAAAAAAAACATTTCCCGGTTTGAACCGTATCTCACAGACCACCCAATCAAACCGGATTAATCACATTTCACAACGACGACCCACACCAAAAAAATCTCAACCTCCAAATCTCAGCAACAGTGGAAGAAGAGAGAAGGAGAAGATAATGGTAAACGGCAACAGAGCAGAAGCGGATCGTTGGCTGGTAACCTCAGAGAAGCTTCTCGCCTCCAACGACCTCCTAGGCGCCAAAACCTTCGCGATCCGCGCCTGCGAATCCGACCCGACCCGCGCCGAAGCCGCCGACTACATCCTCGCCATCTGCGACATCCTCATCGCCGCATCCCTCCCCTCGACCAACTCGAACCTCCCCGACTGGTACTCCGTCCTCCGACTCGGTCAGTTGACTCAGAGCCCCGACCACATCGCGACTCAGTACCGAAGGCTCGCTCTCCTCCTCAATCCCTCCGTCAACCGCCTCCCCTTCGCCGACAAGGCGTTCGCACTCGTCTCCGACGCCTGGAACGTCCTCTCCGATCCGGCGAGAAAATCCTCGTACGATCGCGAGCTCCGACTGAGTCAACTCGGTGGAGTGAGTCAACTCGGTGGAGTGAGCCAACTCGGTCGAGTGAGTCAACTCGGTGGAGTGAGTCAACTCGGTGGAGTGAGTCAACTCGGTGGGAGTGAGTCAACGGAAGCGAGTTTCTGGACGGCGTGTCCTTACTGTTTTGTGCTGTTTGAGTATCCGAAGGGATACGAGGAGTGTGTGTTGAAGTGTCAAGATTGTAAAAGAGCTTTCCAAGCTGTGAGGATTCAGAAACCTCCTGCTGTTATTGAAGGAGAAGGAGATGATGTTTACTTCTGTTCATGGAGTGTGTTTCCATTAGGATTCTCCGGGGAGTATCAAGCTCCGGCGAAGAGCTGGTCACCGATATCGCCTCTCTTTGCTTGCTCTATGCAAACAAAGAAGAAGAGGAAAGAGCCTGCTTCTCCGAGAATCATTTACGATGATGATGATGTTTACGTGGCCATCTCGGACCAGGATGATGAGGTACAAGTTAAAAAGAATAATGTGGATGGTGGGAAAGGGAAAGAGCCAGTAAGTAACAAGAAACAAGGAGGTGTTGGTTCCTCATCTGATGGTACTACTACTAGTAGAAAAGGAATGGGGAGTGGAGGTAAGAATGTAGGGAGGTTGGATTTGAATGAGGAGCCTGGTGTTGGGGGTGGGAGGAGGGAAGGGAGTGGGGTTGGGAGTAATAGGGAGGTGGATAATATTATTGAAGGGATTGGTTTCTTTGAGGGTCTTGATGAGTTTTTGATGAGTATGCCTATACTCTCTGTTGTTGGTGATGATAAGATCAAGGCTACTTAGTTAAGTTAAGACTTCTTTTTTTCTTCTTCTTTTGTTTTTAGGTTCGCGGTGTTCAGTTCATGTGGTTGTTGGTAGGCCTTAGCCTTAATGCCATTTGGTTCCTTGGAATCCATGTTGATGTATATGGCAAAATTTTCAGACCTTTTCTCTCGTTATGGTACATAATCTTTTGCATTGTGACCAGGAACATGCTTTATTTTGATTGTGATGAGCTTCTGAGTTCTGAGCTAGGCATTAAGATTGATTTTCAGGATTAGAGGATATAACATGATTACTGATACTGTTTTATGGTAAAAGAGTTACTTAGCCTGCTTTTGCTTAGGCTTGTTTTAGTTCTCTTCAATCAAAAAAGCTACATTGGTTTCCTCAATTTTTGTATAAATGCCTCGGGGATACATCTTATTTCTGTGCATTCACTGGAGGAAGCTTGTGTTCTTTGCTTTCTGAACCGACAAAGGAGGAAGTAAAGTGGCATCGCACATTGCTGTCTTTATTCATCTGGAGTTTCTGTAGCCCTCGAGGCCCATGGATTGATCAAGGTGAGGAAAATTAAGTAAGAATTTCTAGCCAGGGTCTATGGTAAAGACCTAATGAATTTTTAGGAACTTCTTTTCTGTAGTCGCTTTAGTCATTCTTACAAATGTTAAGAGTTCTCACTTACCTGTAAGCTGTAAATAGAGTCTGCAAAACCAAGAAGTTGTGAAAGCTATTCAACCAATGCTTCTGTGCACGTTATTTAGATTCTATAAGCTCAAGTTTAACTACTCTGAAGAGTTAAGGCTTCATAAGTTTGTTCACACCAATGGTAGAATGCAGAACCTGTTTAGGCTCTAAAACGTTCATGTGCTGTCTGTTTCCTCTTAACTAATATTATGATGAAGACATGCTGATAGTATCCGGAAAAGCAAAGCCATGCCACGAAAAGTTTCCTCTTTTTTTCCATCTCTTATAGTTATACAATGTTCTTCTTGAATATATAGTACAAGTCTAGCTTGAATCTGAATCCAGAGTCAGCTATTAAGCAACACTAACGTTTTGGTGCCTAATTCTGATTAGTGAAGTTAGCATTCAAGGCTGATTTGATTGGTTTTATAACTGTATTTCAATATTTTGTATCGCCTGGGGAAAAATTATATGTTTCGGGCGAGAAGCTTGGTTATCTAGTAATCTATTAATACTAGCAATCTCAATTAATGTCAAAAATTGTGAATTCTATATAAGTGAAAGGTTATTATGAATTCTATATAAGTGAAAGGTTATGTATTTTTATTGCATAGAAAAATTAAATTTTAAAAGCTACCTAAAATGTTGTTCTGTAATTAAATTGTTTTTTGAAATAGTGTGTCTATTTAAATTTTAGTTATTTTTAAAAATAGTTATTCTTTATATAATTAATGTGTTTTTTTTGAAATGATGTGTCTATTCAAATATATAATGTAAATGTATCAATTGAAATAATTACCTATAATTGGATAGTTGTGACTATTCATAAAATAACTAATTTCAATTTGAAAAGTTGTGATTATTCATTATCTTTAATTTGAAAGTTGTGATTATTCATAAAAATAACTAATTCTAAGTTGAAGATTGTGACTATTCACTACCAATAATTTGAAAGTTATGACTATTCATTAAAATGACTAACTTTAATTGGAAAAGTTGTAACTAGATCGTATAGGAAGTTTAAATAAATTATTCGTTGGAAAGTTAGAAATGAAGATCATGTACCATGAAAATATGTTTAGCCTACATTAATATACATTGAGAGTGTGGTTAGGTATTTTATAAACAACACTAAAGTGTCTAAAAATTATAGTTAGCATTTATAAAAAAAAATTAAATTATTTCGTAGGGGTTAACCAACATATTTCAAGAAAATAGACAATATTGTACTTTTTTTAATGCTTATTTTCATCATGCTCTGAATTAGTATGAAGATTAAATAGGTTTTAGACCTTATTTGTTCCTATTTCTCTAGAAAATAGAGATTTTATAGGGGTTACTACACTAATTAAATCGTATATGAAGTTTAAATAAATTACTCGTTGAAAAGTTAGAAATGATGACCATTTACCATAAAAATATGTTTAGCCTACATTAATATACAATGAGAGTGTGGTTAGGTATATTTCAAACAACACTAAAGTGTCTAAAAATTATAGTTAGCATTTATCAAAAAATTCAATTTTTTTTTCCGCAGGGGTTAACCTACATATTTAAAGAAAAATTAGAAAATATTGTATTTTTGTTTTAATGAATATTTGTATCATTCTCTGACATAGTATTAAGATTAAAGAGGTTTTAGATCTTATGTGTTCCTATTTCTCTGGAAAATAGAGATTTTAAAGGGGTTACTATACTAATTAGATCGTATATAAAGTTTAAATAAATTACTCGTTGGAAATTAGAAATGATGACTATGTAGCATGGCAATATGTTTAACCTACATTAAAATACATTGAGAGTGTGGTTAGGTATTTTTTAAACAACACTAAAGTGTCTAAAAGTTATAGTCAGCATTTATCAAAGAATTTATTTTTTCGTAGGGGTTATCGTACATATTTCAAGAAAAAATAGAAAATATTGTATTTTTGTTTTAATGCATATTTGCATCATGGTCTGACATAGTATGAAGATTAAAGAGGTTTTAGACCTTACGTGTTCCTATTTCTCTAAAAAATAGTGATTTTATAGGGGTTGATACATTAATTAGATCGTATATGAAGTTTAAATAATTACTCGTTGGAAAGTTAGAAATGAAGACCACGTACCATGAAAATATGTTTAGCCTATATTAATATACAGTGAGAGTGTTGTTAGGTATTTTTAAACAACACTAAAGTGTCTAAAAATTATAGTTAGCATTTATTGAAAAATTCATTTTTTTTCGTAGGGGTTAACCTACATATTTCAAGAAAAACTAGAAAATATTGTATTTTTTGTTTTACTGTAAATTTTCATCATACTCCGACTTAGTATGAAGATTAAAGAGGTATTAGACCTCATGTGTTCCAATTTATCTTGAAAATAGTGATTTTATAGTGGTTACTACACTAACTAGATCGTATATGACGTTTAAAGAAATTACTCGTTGGAAAGTTAGAAATATTTACTGTGTACCATGAAAATATTTTCTGCATACATTAATATACATTTAGAGTGTGGTTAGCTATTTTTCAACAACACTAAAGTGTCTACAAGTTATAGTTAGCATTTATCGGGAGATTCAATTTTTTCGTAAGGGTTAACCTACAAATTTCAAGGAAAATTAGAAAATATTGTATTATTGTGTTAATGCATATTTTCGTCATGCTGGGACATAGAGTGAAGATTAAAGAGGTTTCAGACTTAATGTGTTCCTATTTCTCTAGAAAATAGAGATTTTATAGGGGTTACTCCACTAATTAAGTCATATACAAATTATTGCATATGTTATTAATTCTCTGAGTATGATGATTAAATAGGTTTTAGACCTTCTGTGTTCCTATTTCTCTAGAAAATAGAGATTTTATAGGGGTTACTACACTAATTAGATCGTATATGAAGTTTAAATAAGTACTCATTGGATAGTTTAAATGATGACCATGTACCATGAAATTATATTTAGCATATATTAATTTACATTTAGAACGTGGTTATGTATTTTTAAACAACATTAAAGTGTCTAAAAAGTATAGGTAGGATTTATCTAAAAATTCATTTTTTTCCGTAGGGGGGGGGGGGTTAACCTACATATTTCAAGAAAAAATAGAAAATACTGTGATTTTTTTAATGCATATTTTCATCATGCTCTGATTTAGTATGAAGATTAAAAAAGTTTTAGACCTATGTGTTCCTATTTCTCTAGAAAATAGAGATTTTATAGGGGTTACAACACTAATTAGATCGTATATGAAGTTTAAATAAATTACTCGTTGAAAAGTTAGAAATGATGACCATGTACCAGGAAAATATGTTTAGCCTAAATAAATATACATTGAGAGTGTGGTTAGGTATTTTTTAAAAAACAATAAACTGTCTAAAAATTATAGTTAGCATTTATCGAAAAATTCAATTTTTTCTTAGGGGTTAACCAATATATTTCAAGAAAAATAGACAGTATTACATTTTTTTTAATGCATATTTTCATCATGCTCGGACTTAGTATGAAGATTAAATAGGTTTTAGACCTTATGTGTTCATATTTCTCTAGAAATAGAGATTTTATAGGGGTTACTACACTAATTAGATCGTATATGAAGTTTAAATAAATTACTCGTTGGAAAGTTAGAAATGATGACATGTACCATGAAAATATGTTTAGCATACATTAATATACATTTAAAGTGTGGTTAAGTATTTTTTAAACAACACTAAAGTGTCTAAAAATTAAAGTTAGCATTTATCGAAAAATTCAATTTTTTCGTAGGGGTTAACCTACATATTTCAAGAAAAAAAAGAAAAATTGCATTTTTTTAATGCATATTTGCATCATGTTCTGACATAGTATGAAGATTAAAGAGGTTTTAGACCTTATGTGTTCCTATTTCTCTAGAAAATAGAAATTTTATAGGGGTTGATACATTAATTAGATCGTATATGAAGTTTTAATAATTTCGCGTTGGAAAGTTAGAGATGATGACCACATACCATGAAAATATGTTTAGCATATATTAATAAACAGTGAGAATGTTGTTAGGTATTTTTAAACAACACAAAAGGGTCTAAAAAAAGTATAGTTAGCATTTATTGAAAAATTCATTTTTTTCGTAGGCGTTAACCTACATATATCAAGAAAAACTAGAAAATATTGTATTTTTTTTTTAATGTAGAAAAACTAAAGTGTCTAAAAATTATTGTTAGCATTTATCAAAAATTTTAATTATTTCGTAGGGGTTAACCTACATATTTCAAGAAAAATGAGAAAATTGTGTATTTTTGTTTTAATGCATATCTGCATCATTATCTGACTTAGTATGAAGATTAAAGAGGTTTTAGACCTTATGTGTTCCTATTTCTCTAGAAAATAGAGATTTTGTAGGGGTTACTACCTAATTAAGTCATATATAAATTACTCGTTGGAAAGTTAGAAATGATGACCATGTATCATGAAAATATGTTTAGCCTACA